AAAGGCCAGCAGCCCCGGACCTGTTATCATTTTCCATTATGTATCCACAGCCAAGGAGGGAACATCTTTTTTTCTCATTGGTAAAATGGGGATGCTGGTGTTCATCTTGAGGGCTTTGCAAGAAATAAACTAACATATGGAATGAAGGGCCCTAACACCATGCCTGACATACAAAAGGTTCTTTGTTTTCAAAAAAGTAATTTCTCAAAATGCCACGCATCACATAAAAACCCTTTCTGCCTTCACATGAAGATATCCAAATTTGTGGTCTGGAATCTACAACTCTTCAGGTATGCAAAGAGAACATCATCGAATCCTTCTAAAAAATGCACATGTTCTTTGCCTCTACAGCCCATGACGCTTGGTCCCATGTCACAGTGAGGCACAAATTTGCTCTCTCTCTGTATGGCCTCCTGAGCCCCCACTCCTAGCTGACTCTCCCCCAGGCTCAGAGTATGTTCAGTGTTGCCCTTTGGTTTCTTCACTTCTCTCTTAAAATATGCAGAATCTTCACTTTATAATTCTTCACCTACTTGGTTACTACCAACTCCCTTCCCCACCAAAGCTTTTGGAACACATAAGATTCCTGGGTGACGGGATTTCCTCACAAGGGACTCCCATAATCTCACAGATTACAGTGCCTGTACCCCACTGACCTGAAATTGTGTGCTGCAAAAAGCAAGTTTTTCCTGTTAGTTTTCTGGACCTCTCAGACTCCCAGGCTTCTCCTCCTTGTCTCTAAGAGGGAGACTGCTTCTCTAGAGCCTTGGCTATGCTCTCTCCCTTGCTTCTCTTCATGACCCTAAAAGCTCAGCTCTACTCCAGCCACATCAGGGTCAAGCAGGCTCACACCTGCCACTCATTCACTCAACACTCACCAGCTGCTAAACTGCATTTCTGGCTGTAGCATTTTGGCCAACCTCCAGTCTCAAACTTCTACTATCGCCATCTGGAGGGGGTTTGGATGAGTTTCAAAAATACCCTCACTTCCACAGGTCTAAGTTTCTAAGGCTCAACTAATGAGGACCTCATCTGACAATACCTGTGCACCGAGGGGAGCTGTTTGGACATCTGGACTCATCAAAACAACTGAGAAATCCATGTCACCCAGCCATCTAAGTATAAAAGTAATGTTTAAAAATAAAAGGAGGGTGTCCCTGGTGGCATAGGGATTAAAGTCTCAGTGCTATCAAGCTACTGCCAGTCACCGAGGCATGAGTTCAATTCCCCGCCAGGGAGCTGACTCACATGGTAGAGCAGACCTCTCCTGTCTCGCCTGCTGCTCCCCTCAGCAGTGTATTTCAGTCAGTCTGCCTGTTCTACTCCCCACTCTGTCTCTGGTGAATTCTCTCACCTCTTGCACCTCTGGCCTACACCCCAGTTCTTGTATGCATAAATAAGTCTTTAAAAAGAATTTTTAAAAAAGAATTCTTCTCAACCCCACCGAATGGGAGAAAATTTTTGCACACAACACTAACGATAAAGGACTGATCACAAAAATCTACAAAGAGCTGAAGAGACTCAACAAAAACAAAGAAAATAATCCAGTCAAAAAATGGGCAGAAGAGCTAAAAAGAAACTTCTCCAAAGAGGAAATGCAAATGGCCAACAGGCATATGAAAAAATGTTCAACTTCAGGGCTTCCCCCGTGGCGCAGCGGTTGAGCACTGGGTTGTGAAACTGCCCGCGGCCTCTGCTGCACCGATTTGATCCCCGGCTGCATCCCAGCCACCGGAGGAGGGTACCACATGGCGCGCAGACCTCTCCTGCCGCCCGCTGCTCCCCTCAGCAGTGTACTTTGGTCCTTCTGCCTGCTCTGCTCCCTGCTCTGGCTCTGGTGAATTCTCTCATCCTCCCGCGCTTCTGACTGTACCCAGTGCTTGTATAAACAAACAAACAAACAAATAAATAAAACATGCCTCTATTAAAAAAAAAATGTTCAACTTCACTTGTAATCAGGGAAATGCAAATCAAAACTACCATGAGATACCATCTTATACCAGTGAGAATGGCACATATTAAAAAAACTAGCAACAACAATTGTTGGCGAATTTTTGGAGAAAAAGGAACTTTCCTGCACTGCTGGTGGGAGTGCAAACTGGTCCAACCCCTATGGAAAGCTGTACGGAGATTCTTCAACCTACTAAAGATAGAGCTTCCATATGATCCAGCAATTTCACTCCTAGGTATTTACCCAAATGACACACAGAAACATTAATTCCAAAGGGCACCTGCACCCCTATGTTTATAGCAGCACTATTTACAATAGCTAAGCTTTGGAAACAACCCAAATGCCCAAAAATAGATGAGTGAATCAAGAAGATGTGGTACATATACACAATGGAATATTACTCAGCAATCAAAAAAGATAAACTCATGCAATTTGCAGCAACATGGATGGAGCTGGAAGGGATCATGCTCAGCAAAATAAGCCAGAAAGAAAAAGAAAAATACTTGATGGTCTCACTCATAGCAGGAATCTAGAAAACTTAAATAAGAGACCAGGAAAAAGAATAACTATAATAAAGAAAAAATCAAAATCAACAAGCAACTATAAACCAGAGACACACTGGGGGGGGGAGAAGAAGGATTAGGGTCAAAATAAAGGAGGGGTGCAATTGTATGGGGAATATAACCAAGATGAAAATGCATACATTGTGCAAAAATGAAAAATGTGAGAAATATATAAAAAATAAAAATAAATAAAATTTTTTAAAAAAATCATAAGGTTAAAAAAAAAGAATTCTTCTCCCTTTGGTTTCATTCTGCCACTAATCCTCAGAATTTAGGAAGCATTTAGTAGCTGAAAAATAAGAGAAACCATTCCTTTTCTATCGCCAAAGAAACAAAGAGGTCAAGATTGAATAAGCTGGGACTCCCTGGTGGCACAAGGGGTTAATAAGCACAGCACTATGAAGCTGTCCGCACGCAGCCTCTGCAGCAGGAGTTCGATCCCCGGCTGGCCAGGGAGAAACCCACATGGCACAGCAGACCTCTCCTGTCTCACCCGCTGCTCCCTTCAGCAGTGTATTTCAGTCAGTCTGCCTGTTCTTTCCCCCACTCTCTCTGGTGGGTCCTCTCACCCCCCCACCCCGCATCTCTGGCCTGTACCCCAGCTCTTGTATGCATAAATAAATAAATCTTTAAAAAAAAAGATTGAATAAGCTGCTTAATCAAGATCTTCAATTTCATCAGTTAAGACTTTTTAAAGTATCACACATGCAGAACTTAAAAAGTAAAAACACACTTGAATTATTTACTGGCTATTATTGAAGAAATTATTGAAGAATAATTCACTAGCTATTATTAAAGAAAAATAGCCGGGTTACTTATTTTGGTTTCATTTAATAAAACAACAGAAACATCTGTCATTTCTTATGGCAATTTTTGTTGAACTTCCCAGTGGGTGGCAAAAATATACTCCAGATGTCTTTCATTAACCTGCTGATCTGGAGGTAATTCTTTCCCCATTGATGATGGGCAATCTGTTTTGCTGTGTTTTGGTCAAACATAACAATTAAATCATCATTTGATTTTCCAAGCACTAAAATAATTTCAGGAAAGAACCCCATCTTTTAAAAACATTATTTCAAACCCAAATGAAAAATTAATCTATCGATGAGTTATCGCAGATTATGGACTAAGGTTACACCAAACCACGAAACCCAATTCTTGTGTGCAAGGAACAGTCCTGACTAATAATTTTAATTTTAAAGATATCCAGCCAATTGTGTTCAATATTTAGCTCATGTCCCTATTTTGACAATGCAAAAATCTTACCCGAGTCTCATTTCACTGGCTGATGGCCGTAGACTGTGAGGTCTACAACATAGACTACAAGTACAGGTGAAGTTGAAAGTCCTGTATGCCTCTGACAATTGACCCAATCAATGTGACAGCCAACAATTGGCTTTCTTTTTCTCCATGTTTTTGAAAATGGGGGCTCTGCTAAGCTGTGGTTGTTGTTGAATTACCCTTCTCTGTCTGCTATTTCCTGTACAGGAGCAACATGTGGAGTGCTTCAGGATCCACTTCCCACCCCAGGCTCATCTGCTGCCTTCTGGAAAAAGGTTTCCTGGGGTACATACAAGTTTCAGTCTGTCCCTTTGCTTTGCCAAAGACAGATCCGCCTACTGGCTATTCTTTACTGTAATAACAACTGTGCTGTAAGACAAACAACTTATTCTTAGGGGAAAACAATTTCAACCATCACATTTGGTCACATGGAGTCATCCTCTGATATCTGACTTACACAGAAACACAAATACTTGCTGAATGACAGCTGAATGAATGTGATGTATTTAATGGAATTTGTGCTTTACTACATTGCTTCCTCTTTTTTTTTTTTAAGATGGTGAAATCTTTATAAGCAAAAAGATGATTAATTCTTCCCTTTGTCTTGAAGGATCTTTCTCTCCTGACAATCTCTTAGTCAAATACCCAAATCCAACCCTAAAAGAACAACCACATACTTTTAGTAGGTTAAAACTGAAGTGCCCTGTACTTGGATAACCTATAACACTGGAGAGGTCGGTTTGTTGGGGACATTTGGACAAAACCTGCCTGTGTTAGGACACTAGCTAGAGCAAACCCCTCAGCTAATCCCACATTTGAATGTTCCTAGCAGTATACATTTTGGGATCTTCTGTGTGCCCCAGAATACACAATGTGGATCTAATTAGGTCCAGCTGCCTTATGTTAGTACTGAATTTGAAAAGAGAGAGAGAAGCGGGGGTGGGGGCTTTGTTCATTCCCTCCTCTGCCCTGGTGATCAAAAACTCGCAAGGCGTGCCCATCCTCAGTGATCACTCAGAGCAACACACGCTTCCTAAATACCCCAGCGAGCTGGGGCCTCGCTCAGCTCTCGAACTTTTCAGCTGCTCAGCTTCCAACCGCTCTGGAAAAGATTTACCACCCGCTGGAGCCCAGCGCTCCGACCCCACCCCCACCCCACTGCCGCGTCGGGCGCGCCCCGCCCGCTCCTCGGCCCGATGACTTACACCAGCGGACAGGGCATCTGGCTCCAGGGACAGTTGTACTGAGCCTGAATAAAACTCTCACTTCCCTCCTGGACGGAGCAGCTCACATTCTTGTGCACGATGTAGGCGCACCAGTTCCTGGGATGAAGGAGAGGGTGGGAGAGGGGCACGGTGTTACCCCAAAGAACAGTGAGGCGGGGGGTTGGGGACGAGTCCATACAGCCCCGACCAGGTGGGGTCCAGGAGCCCTGGTGCCAGTGGAGGTGGAGGTTCGGCAGAGCAGGTCGGGAAGGACGCGGGGGCGCCTCCGGAAGGCGAGCACCTTTACCTCACCAAAGACCGGGAAAAGAAAAGCGCCCAGGGTCCCCAGAAATTTCTAGGAATAGCTCCTGCTCGCCCTGCTCTTCGGGACACTCCCCGCGCGCCACAGCCGGGGGTATCACTGCTAGAGGCGCAGGAGGTCCCTGGGCGCCCCGCGCCGGCTGGGGAGCGCACAGCGAGCCCGGGGAGGCGCGCAGGAAGGTCCCAGCTGCGGCTCTTCGCCTCCGCGTGGCTCCGCGGCGGGTCGGGGATGGGTAGGCGAGGGCCCGGGGGTCTTGGGGAAAGCCTGGGGCGAAGAGGGGAGCGGCGTACTTACTTGCTCCGGGCGCTGGGGCGCGCTGGGTGCCGGGGCGGCGGGGCGGCGTGACACAGCCCCGCGCCACCCAGGGCCAGCAGCGCCAGCAGCGCCAGCAGCGCCAGCGCCCAAGGCCAGGGCGCGCGGGGCCGGGGCCGGGGCCGCTGCCACATCCTCTGCCCGGGGTGCACGCCCCGCCTGCGGGATCCGGAGCTCAAAGGGTCCCGGCCAGCGCCGAGAGGCTGCGGTGGAGAGGGCGCGGCCAGAGAAGGCAGGAGGCTCGCGCGCTTTGCCGCGCCCCCACCCGCGCTCCGCGGCCGCCCCCTCCCGCCTTGCGCTCCAAGTTCGCCTTTTCCGCCCCGTGCGCCCGCTCCGGTGCTGGTCCCCGAGTGACGCGCAGGTCGCCCCCGGGGCCGCCCTCTTTATTTGACTTCCCTCTCGGAAACGCGATGCTTCCCCCACACGTCTCCCTGTCTCCAGGCCCCCTGCCTCTCCGCAGGGGGTGGGGTGAGAGGGCTAAAGGGTTTAAGAGAAGGGTCCACATCACAGAATTTCCAATTACTCATTCCTTTGGTCTCTTCCCAGAAGCCGAGCAACTCTGCCGCCCACCTTCCAGCAGGCGCGCCCCGGCCCCTCGGGAAGCGGCGGCAGGCGCGGGTCTGGCAGCCCTCGCGTCGCGCCCGGGTGCCGGCTCCCCAGGGTGAGTGAGGGACATCTTTATCAGTCCTGGCAGGGCCTCCACTTGGATTTCCTCCTCTGTCAAGACGCCACCATTTCCCTCATTTGGACTTTGGGGAGAAACGAGCACGGATCCTTTTTCTTAGCCGGATTTTTGCTTGTGTATCCAATTAAGTTTCCAAGTCAACTTTCGGGGCATCAGGGGGACAGGAGAAACGACAGCCCCCGCCTCTTTCCAGCAGCTTCTGAAGCACAGCATCAGCCTCTTCATAGCCGCTACGCTCATTTTTGAAAGATAACCTCACAGCCTCTGCTTCTTAACGTTCTGGATGAAATTTTTTCCTATCAATATTAAAATTAGTGATTTCATGATGGTTGTTCTCTTCACAGTTCACACTGCTAGAGTAGTCTTTTTCCTTGCTTGCCTATTTTCTGCTATTCTTGAGTTACCCTAATCTACCAATTTCTTTTGGAGATAAAGCAACTCCACAGAAGTTATGGAAAATTCTCCACTAAAGGGTTCTATTTTCTGGGTGTTGGAGAAAGCTATGTACCTGAGTTAACCTGCTGTATCTCACGAACACTAGAGTGAGTTATTTACAGCCCACTAGATTAACTGCAGTATCTGTGCGCTATCAGGTCCTGTCAGCTGTGAGTGGTTTTCTGTACAAGAAATCTTTGCTCTGTTCCCCACTTCACTCAATGAAGCCATTGGTCCATTTCATTTGAATATGTTGTTAGGCCTTCTGATTTGCAAACAGAAAAAAGAAAATTCCCTAAGTAGAAGCTTCACAAAAACCAAATAAAAGAATTATACCATGTAAGGACAAAATCTGTCTGTGAACTCTCTAAAATGAAGATCATGCAAATAATGGACTGAAGTCATCTCAGCCTTCAAAAGAGTCACCCTGAGGAGAAAATAACAGAAGGGGAGAAAAACCAGTCTTGTGTAATACAGTATGTATCACCCTGTGTGACTTCCCTATCCTCTTCCTAACACCATTTTTTTGTTATAGGGGAGAAATAGCAGAGAAACAAAAGTGACAGAAGGAAAAGATGGAGGCAGCACACAAGTTATGTATGCCTACAAGTTATGTATGCAGCTAACAACCATAACCCTTCAATCAGGTGATACTCCCCAGCTGGAGAGGAGAGTTGAACTCATAAGGTCGAATCTATTTTTTCAAAATCAGTTATCTTAGGAAGCAGTAGTCTCATTCAAGAGTGAAGGAACCAACTTTTCACTGCAATGATTATTTAGTTATAAATGGCATTTGTTAGTAAATAAATTTTGTTCAGAGAATCTGTTACTTGCTAGGCATTCTGCAAAAATATGAAAGACTCCTGAGTGAGCCAAAACTGACATGGGCTGTGTGTTCACAGAGCTCCCGGGCACACCTATGCAACATAAAGTTTCTGGTGTATGGTCAATTCAGTGAGATGATATTTGTCACGTATTGCTCTGGACACATGCTCTGCATACCTTGTGTGCGCTGCTCTGGGAAAATGGGAAAAGACTGGCTTTCAGAGCTACTTGAAGTTACGATCTCAAGAGACATTCCTTTTCTCTAGCCAGAGAAAGGGACACATCAAACTCAGAAACCAAAGAGACCTCCAGAAGATGGAAGAAAGTTTTCTGAGGATAGAGTTTAAGCTCACTAGGAGACAGACTAATTGATCTGGTCATCTGGGTTATGCAGACATAATTGACATAATTCATTCCATTACTGTTGGTTTTGATAAAAGATGCCCGTGAAGTTCTATACTTAGGGGCACTTCTTGTGAAGCAGTAAGCCTGCTAGGTCCCCAGGACATCCAGACTCCCCCTCTTCAGTTACCTAATGGAGGGGGCTGGGTACATTCCCCCCAGCCCCATGCTCAGTCATCTGGGCACAGTATATTTCATCAAGATGAACAGATTTGCATCAGAATGTGGTCAAGAGTCACAGGACTAGCAAGCGTTGGCCCACCCTTCTCTGTTCTCATCTTTTTTCTCTAGAACTCAAAACAAAAAACAAAAAACCCAAGTCCTCCTGCTTTCTAGGTGTACTTTTAGGTGTCTTTACTGCTTCTTTGTGTTACATAGCAAATGATGGAAAAAGAATGCTTGCAAACTGAATATCTTGAATAAATTTTGATTGCAAAGCATTTCTAAAATAATACATGCTAAGAATATGTCTGACACATTCATAAGTTAGTGATAAGATGCACTTACGTTTTTTTAAAGTGCAACTTGGTAGGAAAGTGTCTCAGAAAAATTAACTGACTGCACCATGTAGCCTAGTTTTTGTTTTGGAATGCCACGCTTCAGCTGATACAATTTTGTTTAGCTCCATTTGACATAGGCATTGCATTGAACAAGGCATCCTCAGAATGAAGTCAATGAGTCCCCAGACATCAACATTTACAAACAACAGCTACTTTCCTGTCTTGTCAAATGCTTTGCTCAACTAGGCTGACAGAACAAAGGACAATTGCTCTCTTCAGTTTCCTTTAACTTACTTATTTGCAAATATTCCATTTGCTTAAGATTCAAAATGTCAATATGTCGTGAACCAAAGACTGATTTGTCATTCAATTACTTCAGTGGCAATGTTAAGGATTATGACCATTGTTTTATTTTTTATTTTTTTTTTTTTAAATATTAAATTTTATTTTTATATTCCCCCATACAATTGCAAACGCCCCATTCTGACCCCAATCCTTCCCCTCCCGCCCCCCACCCCCCAAAAAGTGTCTCTGGTTCATAGTTTTTTGTTGATTTTGATTTTCACTTTCTTATATTCATTTTCCTGGTCCCTTAATTAAGTTTTCTAGATTCCTGCTATGAGTGAGACCATCCGGTATTTTTCTTTTTCTTTTTGGCTTATTTCGCTGAGCATGATCCCTTCCAGCGCCATCCATGTTGCTGCAAATTGCATGTGTTTATCTTTTTTGAATGCTGAGTAATATTCCATGGTATATATGTACCACATCTTCTTGATCCAGTCATCTATTTTTGGGCATTTGGGTTGTTTCCAAAGCTTAGCTATTGTAAACAGTGCTGCTATAAACATAGGAGTGCAGGTGCTCTTTGGAGTTGATGTTTCTGTGTCCTTTGGGTAAATACCTAGGAGTGGAATTGCTGGATCATATGGAAGCTCTATGTTTAGTAGGTCCAGAAATCTCCACACAGCTCTCCATAATGGTTGGACCAGTTTGCACTCCCACCAACAGTGCAGAAGAGTTCCTTTTTCTCCACATCCTCGCCAACATTTGTTGTTGCTAGTTTTTTTAATATGTGCCATTCTCACTGGTGTGAGATGGTATCTCATGGTAGTTTTGATTTGCATTTCCCTGATTACAAGTGATGTTGAACATTTTTTCATATGTCTGTTGGCCATTTGCATTTCCTCTTCAGAGAAGTTTCTTTTTAGCTCTTCTGCCCATTTTTTGACTGGATTATTTTCTTTGTTGTTGCTGAGTCTCATCAGCTCTTTGCAGATTTTTGTGATCAGTCCTTTATCATTAGTGTTGGGTGCAAAAATGTTCTCCCAGTTGGTGGGGTTTCTCTTTGTTTTTGTTATTGTCTCTTTTGCTGTGCAGAAGCTCTTTAATTTGATGTAGTCCCAGCTGTTTATCTTTCTCTTCACTATCACTGCTTTGGGTGATGTGTCTGTAAAGATGTCTTTGATGTGCAAATCCCGTAGTGTTTCGCCTATATTTCCTTCTATGTATTTTATGGTTTCAGGTCTTATGTCTAGTTCTTTAATCCATTTTGAGTTGATTTTTGTGTATGGTGTGAGGTAGTGGTATGACCATTGTTTTATAGTCATCTTTCTTGAAAGATACAGGGAAAATTTTCCCTGTCTTGATCGGGAATATGTACAGTCTTAATACATTTGAAACTATCACCTGAGAAATTCAAAACTGTGAAAATTTGAAATTATACCTGACATCACATAAGCAGAAAAAAAGTGTTCATACAATGGAGTTGGTGTACTCTTAACAACTGTATACCTTCCCCTCCATAGAAGAATGATCTTGGACAAGTTAATAAGACTATTCTTCTCCATGTTCTCCTCTGAAAATGAGAATGGCTCAGGTGCTATCGGGAGAACTAGTTGAGTTATCATATGTAATTTGCTTCGCATAGTGCCTGGCACACAATCAGTAGAAAATAAATACTTATAAGGATAAATACTGATAATTGTTATCATTACCCTTATACTCTGCAACATATTTGCAACCAGAATCAGGAGCCTTGTCATCCTTTTGTTCTGCCAACTGACACAGGAAGTTGACTATCTACTGCAGTTCTTTCCAGATTAGAAATACAAAGAAGTAACAATTGAGAGGACATGTCTCTGAATGAGTCTGAATGAGCTATTTGGGAATAGAATACGGAGCATATGACTTCCAGTTCAGTTTTCTTTCTATTGCTCTCCAAGAGAAAACATATAACTCATCTTATTTAGGAGATTTCATCCTCTACATTACAAAGAAATTTATTTTA